CAAATGTTCAGCCTTTGGCAGCTGCAGTGAAAAAGTGTTTTGACAACCTGATAAATAGGATAACATAGTGATATATTTAACAGACCTAGAATAGTGAGCTTTAAACTTCTGTCTCTTATCTGATACACCCATTCAAGATCTCCATGAACCTGTCAGTTCTGGATGTATGTATTAAAGGCAACAGGAGTTACTTTCTTTTTGCAGCATCAAGGAGCAATTACCTAATGCAAGTGAACTGCTGTGAGCCAAAATACATTTTTACTTTGATTACTTCAGACTGTTTTGATGTATTTCATTATTTAAAATCGCAGTAAAGCCTGGTTTGGAAGGGGCCTCCCAGAGATTAAGTCCAGTTTTCTCTTGCGAGCACAGCCTTATATTAGGTCATCCAGGGTCCTGTCAAAGCAAGTAAGTCTCGAATCCCTTCCAACAAGGAGCTTCTCTAGGCAACCTATCCCAATCTTCTGTGGTGAAGCATGTTTTTCTTTTATCCAGACAGAACTGTCCATGAAGCAACTTGTGTGTCTTGCCTTTTGTGCTCTTATGTGCATCCTTGTGAAGGGAGTGAGTACCTCCACCTCCCCTATAACTGCTTTTGATGTTCTGTAAGACTGTCACTAAACCCATGTAGAGCCTTCTCTTTTCTCCTCTTGTCCTCATTCATCATCAGTTCCCTCATCCCTTTTTTGTTCTTCTCGGTCTCCATTCTTTCCAGCACCTGTAATTCTCTGTTTCTTTGACTGTGTGCTTTATGAAAAAAAAAAAAAAAAACAAAACAAAACTTTATCCATACTTTGAGAAGATACAGAAATTACAATTTAATATTCAATCCAATTCAACAATTTAATATTCAGTTCAACTAGATACTTGAAGTTGTTTCCGTTCCATATCTAAACTTTTCTACTTGGTTCTGTCTCAGTTTTAAATTTTAGATCTGTGTTGCATGAATATAAGTGTATGGAACCTGTTGCAGAAAACAACAACAAAAACAGTATAGACAAGAAACAAATACTTTCAGTCCCCTGAAATTCTAATGTGGTTACAAAAAAAAAAAAAAAAAAGATCTCCGGGAAGGATATTATTGCAACAGAAATTGTGGAGGTAGTAAGAGTTTACCATCTGGCAAGGCCCCCAGACCAGATGGATCCACTAATGACTTTCATAAAGTATTTCACCAGACCCTGCCAGAGCACATGACTGGCATCTTTAATTATCCTAAATTAACAGGGTTCCAGCCTTGGATGCTAGATTCAGAATTGTTGATCTTGGAAGGAAAGGCAAAGGAAATGTTCCCTGAAATCTCTTCTTCCTAATAGACCTTTTTATTAATAAAGTTTAATGTTAAAATATTACCTAAAGTTTATTGGTTCATCTTAAGTGGATTGTTTGCATAGAAGAAGTGCCTATTGAGGCACTTGTATTAGAGGTGGTTTTTTGCAAACACATCAGAGTGGTTTTGGAATTCACAGTTAGCTTTATGCATGCACAAAGCGTTCAGCTGCTCGGCAGAGCAGACTGCCAGGAATCCCCTTGTTTTCTTTGCCTTCCCTGGGAGGAAGGGAACGTGCACTTCCAAAGCAGTTGATCTCTGCCTCTTACCCTACATGTGCATCTGCTCCTGTTACTGTTCCCACAGAGGGAAGGTCGAGTCGTGTGGTGAAGTGACCGCCACTACCATCAAGCCATGCCAGCAGCAACTGCTGCTGCTCTTATCCTTTCCGTTTTCACCCCTGCTCTTTAGCAAGAGAGTGTCCACTTCCTTTTCCCACAAACATGGAAAGTAGGGAGAAATTTTCTTGGGAAATTTCTTCTGCCCACACACTTGGATCTTGCGGGACTCCATCCTGCTCCGGGTGGGCACTGCATGTGCTGCCCTCAGTTCCCTGCTCATCCCTCCTCATGGACTAACCCTGCTCTGGCAGCTCGTGGACAGTGAAGCCTTTGCCAAATAGTTTGTATGGTGCATTTATGGAAAAGCTTGGGAATTTTGTGAATTACTTCTAAGAGAAATGCTCATGATTTTAATATAAAAGTCTGGATTTTGTTTTTTCAACTTACTTGTTATTAGGTACTGGAACTGTTACGTATTCTCAGGACTGAGAATAGGTCTGCAAACGTACATCCAGGGATTAGACTGTTCAAACTCTGCTGGATGAGCAGAACAACGGAGTACAGGCTGGGGGAGGTCAGGTTGTGTGGCAGGAAGGGTGGGAGTAAAGAAGCAAGTGACTTGCTCAGAGGTGTTGCCTTCAGCGGTCCAGCTGCTGGGGCAGCTCAGGTGGCATCTGCAGCCCTGTGGCCTGAGACTTGCAGAGAATCCTCTGGTTGCATAATAAAGACTCTAGTGTTTCTAGGTGTTCTTCCGGTTGGAAGGAATGGGAAGTAGTTCCCAAATAATACTCTTCTGGACCATCAACTGCTGCTGTTTGAATGCCTCATCTCTTTTAATCCTATTTTGGTGTTGCAGTGATTATCGCAGTATTTCGGTATTTTCCAGTGGTGCAGAGAGGGATGTGGTGTCGTTAAAAGGGATTTGGATATTGGATAGGATGTTCACATCGAAAGGTTGAAGAAATGCACCTAACAGTTCAAAACACAAGCTGTGAGGTTTACATTCATTTTAAAAGGCAGAGAAAGGCACAGAGCCTGTGCCAGCAAGAAACCTTACAACCTGAAGACAGGACCTGACCCATACACCAGAGGTATACAATTTTTATATTTTAGTTCACAGCAAGCATGTAAATCATATATACAAGTATCAAACAACTACCAAGATTTGTGCATGCAGTTGGGCTCCCATTTCCTTGCTCTGTAACCCACTGTTCCGTCTGACAGAAATAAACGCTTGGTTATCTAACAGCCAGACTGCACGTAGGCAGTTGGAGTGCATTGTAAAGGCTGGTAGCGGGAGATGAATGTCCTTAGCAGTTCTCAGAATTAGACTACTTATTTAGGTGCCAAAATGTATATTATTTCCTAATTTTAGCTCCCCCCACTAGTTGACTTCATGCATCAAAAAGGGTAAAACAAATAGCAGAGATGTTCAGTACAGACATATTTATGTGGTAGGAAATGTGTTCTTGTTCTGAACCTTACATCCAGGAATGGAAATCCAAAATGTAGAATAGGAAGTTCTAGTATGTGAAAACCAAACTGTACAGAACAGTGGCAGATGTAATTAAGCTGCAGTTCTGTTCTAGCAGTAAGATGGATTAGTCTAATTAATCTTTTCCATCTGTTTTTTATCGTTGAAGGAAAGTATTTTAGTTTAATTATAGGTATCAAAGCTTAAGTATGGTGGAGTCATCCTTTATTCCCTTACAGGTTTAGAATTGAGGTGAACTAGTCAACACACAGTATAATGTAGAATCCAGGCCTATGAAGGAAAGGGGCGAGGAGCAAGTGCTGGAGCAGATAAAACAGTTTTACTGGGCATTGTACTAAAATTGTTGGGTTTTACATGAATTGTTCTTTAACGTGTAAGAAATGAGTACGTAGGTTTGTGAAAATTCTTTTTTTTTTTTTTTTTTTTTTGCTTTCTGAAGCCATCTGTCGGATGTCAGTTTATTAATAGGATATTTTTCCTTATTCCATCTGTAGCTTGCATACTGGAACATAGTTTAAATTTGTCTTCTGGTTAGCAATGTAAAAGTCTTTGTAGTCACATTACTGTGGGAAGGGTTTTTTTATTATTAGTATCCTCAAGATAGGTTTTCAAACTAGATTCTCTGTTTTTCTGTCAGAATACCTCAAAGGCTGAAGGGTAGCTTGGCAACAGCCAAGAATAATTGCAAAGAGCAGCTTCTGATAGTTTGTCACCACTGATAGCCTGTATCCCTCTTGTTACCACGGGGTGAAGTGTGCTCAGTGATGGTCTTTTGTGCTACAATGAAAATCTGTTATGTGTGATGAGGAAAATATATATATTTTTAAATGATGCTGCTGCTTGGTCTCAGAAAATATTTGACATCTAAGAGAAAATGTTCTTGACACAACAAAATGGAAGAAAATATTAGTGTTCACACTTAGGCAGAGGTGTGAGAGAAGGACACTGCGGGCTGCCTGGTGCAGATTTCTATATTTTACTCATTGTGAACAGAAATACAGTATGACTCTGCTAACAGAGCCTGCATGGGAGTGCAGCTTGCAGTAACGTATCTCTGTAAAATACTACAGAGAATAAAAAACTCGAGTGTTTAATATGTTTAATAAATGTTTAAGAAAGAGTTGGTCAATGCGAGTCCTCTGAAGGCTAAGGGAGTTAATCACCAAAAACCAGGAAGTGTGTCTGAAACATTGGCACATTTCTTGGATTTAAGTAGTAGAAATACAACTTGATGTGACTGTTTTTGTGCAAAGTACTCTTTGTAATTGGCTGTTAGAGAAAATGAGGTAACAGATATACAGTAAATTTTACCCATCCTTAAGCAGCAGTAACTAAAAGAAGATCTTAAAATACATACGTCATTGTTCTTCAGATATAGGAGACAGATTTTATTTCTCTGACTCTTCTGAGGTTACTATCTTTAAATGTGTAAAGATGAGAGGATTTCTTGCATGTGGTTTTTTTTTAATAGTGAAAAATATCCATTATACAGTCACTGGGCAATATTTGAGATTATGTGTAAAAGAGGAATAAATTGTAGAAAATCACCCACTGACTTTGTAAAGCTATGAAAAAGTATGTGTGTTCATTCAGTTTATCAATCAAAAGTATTAAAAACTTCTCTGGTTATGTTTTCCTTAAGTTTTGTAGTTAAAATATTGTTACGTGACAAATTGTGTTCTGCACTAGCGATGTTGGTCTCGGTAAAACATTTTAAGTAAATAATGGGATAGACTGAGTTTTGAACACAGTAGATACGGTTGTTTCAATGAACCAAAAGGAGCTGAAGTTTTTGAGAAATTTTTAAAAAAATGTTTTTTTTAAAAATTTTATGTTTTATACTATTTTGCTGATTCAGAAAGCGTATTATAACTTCAACTGTGTTCTATTTCAGCCTTGCAGTTCACCCGGATAAAACTTTAGTAGCAACAGGGCAGGTTGGGAAGGACCCTTACATTTGCATCTGGGATTCCTACCGGGTACAGACTGTGTCTGTTCTTAAGGATGCACATACACATGGAGTTGCCTGCTTAGCTTTTGATTCAGATGGCCAGGTTTGTATATCTTCTCTCTCTGTGTTTTGAATTTAGTTTGATTTCTGATCCTGCCCATTAAAGCATTTTTTTGTTTAGGTAGCTCTGTGGTTGTAGTACTGAAACTCCTATTACAATTAAATTTGTAATGCCTGGACTGCAAATACATCTTTCAAAGGTGTTTTTGAGATGAAAATATCATGCAAATCAAGTAGAGGCACTGGGTGTTGGACAAATATCCGTAGAAGAAATGTCCCTCTGTGGCTCACACATAATAGCTTCACCACACACTTGTCACCTGCTGTTCCAAGAGATCAGTTCCTGGCAAAGTCCCCACAACCCTGCAGCTTTTTTGGCAGAGGAGCTCCAGTAATGGTACTGCTAGGAGAGTCTCATTGGCTGGGGTGCAGTCAATTTAATAGAGCAACAAGGTTAGGACACAGAGTGTGTGATCAGATTATATGATATCTTGAGACAAAATTAAAAACGTAAGTAAATGGTGGGCTATTTGCAGCTAAGCACATTGATTTATCCCCCACACACACCCCAGAGCAAACTATTAACAGCATACAGTTGTAAATGCAGCAGGAGGAAAATCTACAATTCGCATAGACCTGAGAAATATTGCACGTTCGTGATTTCATAAATATCCATGCAGATTTTGTCATTATTGATGTCCAGATGCCTTTTCTGGGGTAACACTGTGGTCATGCTTTATAGTTGGTTGTTAAAGTACTTTTAGGAATGCGTAGATTAGCTGATAGCTGGATTCCTGAACAGATGGTTATTGGGTTTGTGTTTGCTTGTGGGCCTCAGAATTGTATCCCCATAATTGAGATTATTTTCTTAAAATCATCTACTATGTGGTTAGCTTCTGTTGAGAAGTGCTTCCCTATCATACGCACAGCTCCTCTTCCAATGACCACGCAGTGCTTTTATTACTCTCTGAGATCAGAACTGGCCATACATTGCACAAAATGTATTGTCAGGTGAACCGAAAGCACTTTTTATTCTGCATTACCTTCAGTTTAAAGATTATTCTGAAATGAGGGGCATCAACATGAGTGATCGCCTTCAACATGTTCAAGAAGCATCAGGTAACTTGAATTACTAAACAGCACTATGGATTGTATTTCCCCATTCAAAACTGGAACTAGGTTTCTATTTTAAGCCTAGCTTTCAGTGATCTTCCAGTTTTCTTAAAGTAAAGCCATTTCCTCTGAAATCTCCTGTGCCAATTCTAATTAAAGTAAAAGGTGTTCCTGGGAATTCTGGAAGAATTGGAAAACCCTCACATCAACAGAACAAAATTTATAATGCTGTAATATGTTTTTAAGATATTGTTAATTCAGAAATATCTGCTCTTAAATTTTAACTTCATAACACTGGTGGATAAATACTTTTTTTTTTTTTTCAAAACTGCTTTATGCACCTAATGGGAATAGACACACCCAAGAGCCCAATGAATATGAGTTAAACGTGGAGTCTCTTCTGAAAATCCAGCTGGGTGCCTTGCTGTAGTTAAAACCTGAACTGCCTGATGTGTTGACCTTGCAGAACAGTAACGTTCTGTTCTGGAATGCTGGAGAAGTTGCAGTTTATTCTGGAAATACAAATTTACACAGAAAGCTTTTATATCTGGAGAAAGACCAGTGCTGGAAAACATAAATATGGATAATGTGTCTTGGCTTTTGGCTGCTCTTTCTGGTTTTGCAGAAGAAGCTGCTGTGCTGAGCCAAAACGAAAGGGCATGGTGGAAAGGCTTGGGTGCTGGGAATTCAGAGCTGCTAACAGTTCCAGTTTATTTAGTCAGCACACCCAAGGGAGCTGGCATCTTTGTGAGATGACAGAACAGACTTCACAGACATTGCCTGCACCTTCCCTTCTAATGCTTGCTTTACATTCTGTTATACTGAAGGTTAATATCCAAGAAAGCCCCAAACCAGAAATAAATCCAACAATCACATGAGCTGTCGATGCAATGAAACAGGTATTCTTTTCTCTGCTCTGTCAGCTGTCGACTTTCTAAATAAAAGTAGACTGAGGAAAAGCCCAGATAATTCTGCTTCTCTCCCTGAGGTGCATCCCCATGAAATCAGCCTGGGTGCTTGTTCGGGGGGTTGCTGCTGTGCTTGGGCACAGCTCTGGTGTGTGGCTTGAGCATGGGTCTCCCCACAGTGACACTGCGCCTCTGTATTTCAGGCAAATTCATCGGCTCTTCGTGTGCCACAAACTCGGCAGTGTCTGCTCCAGGCATTCCAGTGAATTGGTTCTCAAATATGATTCCCTGATGGACTTGAGCTGACGCTGTGTGGAGACAGCTTGGTTGTCTCTGCCGTGCTTCCCAGGCATAACTTGCCCCAAACTGGGTGGTGGAGGGTGAACAGCATTTGTTATTTTCTGTAATGCATGAAGAAGAACAACATGCAGCCTAAATCAGGGGACAGCTTCTGTGCTTCCTTTACACTATGAACAGTTTTAAATTGGGAGACAAATATATTTTGAGTAAATTGCTTGTTTTGCACATTACCTGTAATTAATACTATATTTTAAAAGTACTGATGGGAGCTGAATATCTCTCAGAACTGTTGCAATTTAAAAATATATATTTTAGTTTGGGCTTTTTCTGTGTGCCCAGTAAATAACATTTGGTGGGAGGGAAGCTGCACTTTGTTCAGATGTTTAATGAAGAGTTCTCAGTTTGCCTGTAATTAATTCCTGATTCAACAAAAGACGTTTTTAACTGCAGTTTCTCCTTAAAGCTGCTAACATCTGACCTTCACAGAATTACCTACAAAGCTGATGTATTTTATATTGAAGCATTTCACTAATACTATACAGTTCAATTTCTGTTCTGAGTTATTTTAGATAAACCCTTTTTGTGTGCTTTCTAAAGATTATTTTTTTTTAATGGACTGAGCAGGGCACTGCCATAATACACACATACATTTCTAAATTGGGCATATAGACAGCAGTAGGCTTCTTCAGCCAGATCCTCTAAATTTGTGCAGATTTAAAAATAATTGTTTAATTATGTGCATAAATGACTTGGCAGATATTTTCTTCTGGTAGTTCTTTGAATTCTCCAAACAGAATTCTGTCAAGTTCTCTTCCAGAAGGAGGACTAAAAGTGTAAGTGTTTCAACCAAAAAGGAAATTCAGCATTTATCACTTTTCTGCTAGCAGGAAACCTTTCTCAGTAGACCTAGGTTAAAAGAAAATATTAAATATTTCTTAATTTCCCCTAGTACTTTCACTGTCCATGTACCCCGCTAATGGTAATTTCCTGGTAGACAGTTACAGTTCAGGTCTGGTGCTGTTCACATCATGAATCTAAAAGATACTGTAAGTACTGCCATGGTTTCCATGGTGAAAAGAAGGGTATAAAAGAGGTGAAGAAAAGTTGGAATTGGTGAAGCTTCCATGAAAAATATCTTGTGTGTTTTGATCAGTACATCCAAACCCCTGGGTTCACGGATTGCTCAAGGGCAAATGAAGCTGCTTTTTTTTACATTAAAAGGTCCTTTATCAAAATAAATATTTTTATCTGGGTAACTGGCAGGAGCATGTTCATTCTTTCCCACATTTAATTTTCTTTTTCCTTCATTACCACATGCCTAACAATCAAGCACATTGTCCTGGGGTAGGTGCAGCTCTTCAGTACACGTCTGAGATAGAGCCCCAAATTTTCTCTATCACATCTAGCAATAGAACCCCAAATGTTGAACCTATCTTTATCTGCCATTTCCAAGACTCGCACATGGAGCATTGTTGTGGTCACTGACAACTAAGCACCACACAGGCGCTTGGTCACTTCTACCCCCGACCTTGGGGCATGGGCAAGAGAATCAGAAAGGGAAAAAAATTAAAACTCATGGGTTGAGATCAGAACAGTTTAATAATTGAAATAAAATACACTAGTAGTAGTAATGAAACAGAACATAACTAAAAGAGTGAAATAAAACCCAAGACAGACAAGGGATGCACAGTGCGATAATGCATGTTGTCAACTCTCGTGAAACCAGTTCAAAAAGAGATATTACATTGCTCTAAAACAAAGGGACTGTAAACTGTTAAGAAGACAGTGAAGGGTGCTGTGTACCTACTATGTTCAAATCGGAGGCTTTTGACAGTGGCTCTCTTGAGGAGGATGTACACTGTGTTTTCATGCTTATTAAGTGGCCTGAAAAGGCACAGCGTACTTCAAATTATTTTGCAACAGGCTGAAAACTGGAGCCTTCTGTTTCTTTGTGAATAATGATATTTTTTCTCTCAGTAGTTGTTCAGTAGTTGATAGCATTACTGCAATTAATATTTTCTTTAATACAGCATTTTAGAGGAATGTCTGGTAACTGCATTTGTGTTCTTTGCTGGCTCAGTCCTTTTGTATTATCGTAGACATCTCCAGACTTTAAACAATTTGTTTATTGAAAATTTGAGCCAGAAATTACTGGTTGTTGAGTTGAAGGAAATTCAACTGAAGAGATTCAGTTTGCAAGTCATCTTCTTGAAGCAAGTCTTTAAAGAAGAGATCTGATCAGTGTACTCACTGAAACATATGTCTGTTTGGACCAGATGGTTCATCTACTGACCTTTGTCTCTGAGGCAAAAGGAAAAGTTTTTATTTATTGCATGTTCTTGAAGTGCAGACTTTCCTATCACAGACCAAAATGCTTAGGAGCCTCAGTTGGACTGTTAATTCCTTCTGATAAGAAGTTATTGGGACAGTGAGAAGGACAAGGAGTGGACAGTATGGACCCAACAGATAGGGAACTTCTCAAGAAGTCCCATTACTGAGCTATGAGATGGTTTCCAATGAAAACAATCTCTCCTCTTCCCATGATTCAAGTCACTTGGGCATGTTCCTTTTACCAATCAATCTCTGTGGGACAGAGCATCCCATATCCGTGATATATCCCCATCCCATCCATTACCTACAGTTGCAGTGCATTTGGCACCAGCATTGCCTTCACACTGGTACAGATCGTGACACCCTCTCCCGCCATCTCTGGTCTGCAGACAGAGGCCCCTCACCTCGTAAGAGACTCTGACAGCAGTCATGTACAGTTGGGTGTTATAAGCACAGTCGTTGGAAGGGAATTAAACCCACACCCTCCACAGTAACTGCTGAGCCTCTGCATATGTTGCAGATGTATGCAGTCTGCCTTTTCCCCTCCAGATCTTCCATTTTATTTTGTTCTTTTTCTTTCTTGTATTGTTGAAATTTAAAAGTATTAAAATTATTATTTTAATTGGTGATTAACCGTTTTAATAATTTTAGTTGATTTGGTGTTTTAATATTTTAGATGTTTCAAGTGGTAATTTGATTAAAAGTATATCCAATTCTGTTCCTAAAGCTCAACAACATGAACATAATGACCCAAACTGTATTTGGAAATAGCGAGAGTTTTCCTTTCCCATTCACATTCGTTATCAGATTAATAAATCAAAATGCCAGGGTGATGTGCACCTGAAACAAAGCACCTCAAATGCTTCATGATAAGAATTGTACTTGAGGCATTGGTAACCTCAAATGAACAGCCTGGCTGTTTAGCAAAGACCAGACATGTCAGGGGTTTCTCCTGTGGATAAGTAAGTGTAAATACCTTGATGGTGCCTTTGCACTGTGGTCCAAACACAAGCCACATACGGGAATATCAATGTGTACACGTAATAATCTGAATTATAGCAAAGTGATTTTTGAGTTGATTTTCTATTGACTGGATTACTATTGTTTTTCCTTAGCGTTTAGCTTCAGTGGGACTGGATGCCAAAAATACAGTGTGTATTTGGGACTGGAAGAGAGGAAAACTACTGGCAACAGCTACAGGCCATTCAGACAGGGTAATTGTATGAAGGATTTACTGCATTTTGTCTGGCACTTGCAAAAGTGGTTTTAAAATAATTTTTGTTTCTAGTGGGCTAATGTGAAGATAGTTTTGATTGTTCTACCTGGCTTTTAAAATACTGAGCAAAGTCTTTATTTCTTCTCATTCTGCCAGACAGAGCACAAAGCACCATGTTAGTGAATGAGGCAGTGATGGATTCTTGAGCTGTCTAGTGAGCCCAGGGAGGAAATGCTTTGCAACTGCACCCTGATTAGGATGATTTATAGCTCTTTATATGAGATGTGAAATGCTAGCTCAGTGAACAAAGGTCATGCTCTTCCTGAGGATGTCAAGAAGACAGTTTATCCTGAGGGAAAGTTTAATTATCTCCATTTTAGTTTTGCTCAAGACCGTTACTTGTAGAAGAAACATAATTAGGATAAGTAGTCCTTTTATATCTATTAAGTGCAAGTAAAGGATCATAACTTCAATAAATATGAGAACTGAACAGGCTTGAGTTTAGACTGTTATTCAGGTTTAGGAAATGTTTGAAGAGGTTTAGCAAAATACCTCCCCAATATACATGAGCACAAGGTTGTATACATTAAAATAAATGCAGAACATGTTCTCTTATCCATATTATGATATTATAACATGTTAGAATGTTATAGTATTGAGGTACTGTAATGTTTTACTACGCATGATGGGGTATTTATATGTGCAAAGCAGCAGACTAAACCCTTCTTTACAGTTTCTCTGTACATAAAGTCTATCTGCATCTTATGTGTCACTCGAATAAATCTGGTAGTTCATTTTTAATTACAATGTTCAGAACATGACAGAATCTTAGTCCTTATTCGAATTTCTCTTTCAGAACTGATTCACTTCCCAGTTACATCAGTAGAAGTTTTGCTACTGACCTCAGTAGGTACCAGATCAGGTTCTGAATTAGCAGAAGACTCCAGGACAGGCAAGAAGTGCTAAAATCTTGGTCCCAGTAGACTTTCACAACCAGAAAAATGACATTTTCCACTGAAGAGGCAGCGGAAAAGAATGCATACCTAATTAGGCCACAAATTCTGATGATTTAGCGTGCAGGAGTCATAAAGCATTTCCAAAAGTGAAATATCTTGTGCGTTCAAGCAACATTTAAATAAAATAGTGTTTGGAACTACTGCAAATCCTGACATTTATAAAGATGACATATATTTAGTAGGAAGGCAGTGCTTCCCTGTGTATAGAATGAATTATGTCTAATATGTTCCTTTATGTTGATTGAAATTCTCTTGTGATTTATGCTTAACAACTACAGAGCTAAAAGCAGCAAAAAAATCCCATTGTCTTTCTCTACAGACACACATTTCCTGAAGAAACTGATGATTGTGTTAACCTTATTGGTTTTCAGCTTGGACACTGGAAAGCTGAATGCCAAAGATAAAAAGTCCGAATAAGAGTATATTGTTGAAAATCTGGGCCCAAATGCAAACTTGCTGGTTTTAAACTTTATACCACGTTTGCCATTTGGCATAATCCCATAGTCATAAAATACACTGCAAGTTTGTTCTGGTAAAGTATATAGGATCTGATACTTCATGTTTTGATGCATACTGTTACAAATGTGACATGAGTCAAAATGAAGAATTCAGTTGTTTTAACTCTGTAGATAGTCAGATGAATGATACTTACCTATTTTGTCACTGGGGTCTTTTGGTAATACCATAAATTTTACCTAAAATAATGAATCAAGATAAATGTACCAATCTTTCCTTCGTAAGCTTGAGGAACATTAGCTTACACCATAAGTCCCATTTTATTTGAGATATTGCCTATTCAATTACATCAATAACAAGTTGGAATAGACTGGTGTTGTGAAGGCAGGAATGAGGTGTCTTGGCAGAACTATGTGAGGAAGCCTGAGTATTTGCCTTAATCTTTGTTTACAGGGGTTTCCAGATCTACCTAAAGCGCATTCTTTCATTTTTAGTAGTATGTTGCAACAGCAATGATGCCTAAAAATTGGTGAAAGTGACCTGGTAAAAGTGATGCAATCACTGTATAATTTAAAGTACCATCTTACTGTATTCCTTAACAGATATTCGATATTTCCTGGGATCAATATCAACCAAATAGAATTGTCAGCTGTGGAGTAAAACACATAAAGGTAAATAGTTTTTATTGTTTACTTGTTAAAAACTAATTAAATGTCACCAAAGAAATACGTCCTCTTATACGATGTGGGCTTTAAATATAAGACAGGTTATGTTTTTCTCGGTGAACATTTGAGCACAACTTTTTATTTGAAGCCAATTTAGACGTTGAGCAGTGACTCAGATGCAGACCTGCTTAACAAGCAAGATGGGAAGATCATTTGGTGTAATTTTCATCATTACATACTTGTAATTTTGGGTCTCTCTGCCCTCTCCATTCCACCTAAACTGTCTCAGCCTTTAGTGCTTTCTCTGATCAAGCATCGCAGAGGGCCACTGGATGAGTATAGGGGGAACTAAGTTATTAAATGTGAATTGGATGAACTGCAGTTTGTCCAATCAAGCTCCCAGCATTCGTAGGAATACCACAGAAAAGGTGTGCAAGACCTGCAGAGATGAACAGATGAAAACTCCAGGGTCCCCCTGTTTTCTCCCTCTAATTCACCTTTTCTGGAGGTGATGTAAATACGAACATAGATATATACTTTAAGTTAAGGATAAAACATTCTTGTGCCTGTGGAAAGCTTAGAAAGAAATCCTTCTGTTTGACAATATTTCCTGCAGGTTTCTATTTTTCTTCTGTTTCATCAAAAGCATTCCTAACAGATGGCAATTATTTCACATGACTGGGGTGGGAAGAGCTTTAACTAGAAGTTTAGGAAACCAGTTAATATCTCTAGTTCTGGTTACTGAGAAGCTTGTGCCCTTAAAACCACCACTGCTTCCAAACTGTGGGTGGTTTTGGCAGCACTGATGCCATCTGTTGTGTTCTGCAAGCTGTTTTCCAAAAACCTGTTTTTCTTTGGCACCTGTATTATGTTTAAAATGGCCATAATTACCCTGAACATGCATAATATCAGGCAAAGTAAATACATCTAGATAGAGGCATGCCAAAAAAAAAAAAAAAAAAAAAAAAAAAAAAAAAAAAAAAAAAAAAAAAAGCAGCGTGGAGGGAAAATGATTAGCTATTCCCCTCCAGTGATGCTCAAACAACAGTCCTTCATTATAAGGCTGCAGGAATGTGATAACTACTTTAACTTGCCATGAAGGAAAAGAACAGCTCAGAGTGCTTGTATCACTGTGAGAATCAGGACTAATACTTGGGCATGGTGCCATTTACCCCTTTAGCATTTCATTTCTATTGGCTCATTTGACTGAGCAGATATTAGGAGCTGTGGTAAAACCTAGGAGCTAAAGAATCTGACACCGAGCTCAGGTTCTTCCCTCCATCTGTTTCCTAACACTGCTACTGGTTCTCTTGCCCTTCTTCAGCCAACCAGAAGCGAGGAGAGAACATGTTTTACCCCCAGGATGAAAGCCCTGGGGGAGGTATTCTCCCCGCCTTCTCTTAAATTGCCTTATTTTAGGAGTCAAAGGGAAAATTTAAGTGAATTAGAGAAGGATATGAAATAAAAAGCCTTGATCCAAGGACTTTCTGGAACTCAACTTTATAGGAGTTTTATAGGAGCAAGTACAAAGAGAAAGCTTAAAGTACAGCTTATAGCCACAAAAAGATGTAGGCATATAAAATGGAATGAGGTAGACATGCGTCTGTGTCAGACACTTCAATGTTCCTGTCCAGGCTCTGGAAGTATCTCTCCAGTGTGCAGGGGACCACAGAGCATAGACGCCTCCACTAGTAAAGGCCTGAGCTGACAAGTCCATTCGGGACTTGCTACATCCTAGTGCTGGCAGGCCTGGATGTTTCAGCACATCTCTTCCACATCTCATTGAAATTCTCCTTACTCTGCCTTCTCTGGAAGGTCTGATCCTTGAGGGGGAGCTAGTGCACAAACTACCCTCTCTGCTTTATAAAATGATATTTATATTTGAAAAAAAAAAAAAAGCACTGATTCAAAAAGAAAAGAGAAACAAGATTTCTAGCCCACCACTAAAGACACCTTTCTAAGACAAACTTTGTATCCTCTTGACTTTTTTTTCTCTTCCCCAATCAATCTTACATTCTTTTTTTGCAGCACACTACCGTGTCTGTGTAGAAGTCAAAAAGGTCACCAGTCCACACTTAGACAACCTCTTAGTCTTGTGGTCAGTCAGAAAGGGCTGTTTCACATACAGGTGTTTGCAGTCTCCATCCAACAGATGGTTTCTCAGTAAACATAACTGTATTTGAAGGATGTGTCTCTTTCGGTGCTCTGGAAAAGGGCAGAAGTGTCTATTCCAGGCACACAAGTTCCCTAATATAAAGTATTTTATTACTTCAGAACCGTAGCTGTATTTTAAGTTTTCCAGACAAGAGAAGTGGGATGTTCTTGGCTTTAAAAAGCGTGCATTCATACTGACAGACATCACCCAGCCCAAACGTGGCGAAGGATGTGAGGTAACACCAAGGGGTAGTGCAGCAATAGTGAATTGGAACTGAGCCTCAGTTTCTCAGACAGTTTGATCCTTTTGTTTTGTTCTTAGACTTCCTGCATTTGCGTGAGGGCTCCCTTGGTAAGCGGGCAGTTCCTGCAGTGCTGAGCATTCTGACAGACACTCTTCTGTAAGGATGTACCTCTGAGATCTGCACGCTAATATGAAACATTTATATTTAATAACACCGTTTTTAATAATAACATTTATATTTGCATTTGACAGTTTTGGACGTTGTGTGGAAATGCACTGACAGCAAAGAGAGGAATATTTGGTAAAATGGGAGATCTCCAAACTATCCTTTGTTTAGCATGTGCAAAAGAAGATATCACGTACTCTGGTGCTTTAAATGGTGACATCTATGTTTGGAAAGGGCTAAACTTAGTCCGCACAATCCAAGGAGCACATAGTGTAAGTGGTGTTTTTAATGTCGATTTCTGAAACGAGCTGTTCACTGGATGGAAAAACTGCTTGAAGGCTTGTCTCCAAAGATTTTCTTCTGTTTCAGGTCAGAAGAATGTCTAAGACTATTCATCAATTAAGAACTTTAATCTTATACTTCGTTTACATGTTGTCAACCTGTTGAACTGGTATTGACAGAACTGCTGACCTTTATAGCACTGATTTAAGCAAGCAGACTAAATCTGAAGCGAAGCTTCTAAATCTCAATTTCACTGATTGAGTAGTTTCAGTTATGTTCATATCACTGAAAAATAGTTGGTAACCAAATGATCTTATTTTAAATAGAATTTTAGCAGTAAAATTTCCAACACTGAAGATTAATTTTTCGTGAAAGCTTCAATGTGGAGTAAACCTGTTTAATCTGTGAATTGCATTCCCACCGTGTTCCAAAGGCCGTTCACTGCAGTTGGCCTCCTAACAACCACCCCTAATTTGGAGCAGTTACAATTACAGAGAGGAAGGGGAATGTGTCGATCATGTTCGATTTCTAACACAATAAATTTACATCTCTGTTGTTGCTGCAGTAAAGGCACAGGAGGGTCTTCATGTCTTGTTTCAGATGTATTTGAGAACTACTCCTGTTTTGAATGTGATTGTGGCTACTGGCATTCTAGCATGGGTTTTTTGGATAAAAGGAAACACAAGAGTTTTCCTTAGAAGAGTGATAGGAAATCTACAGTTTTCTTCTCGAACCTTTCTAGAAAGAACACTGAAAACCGAACAGCTTTTTCTGACCTCCCAAAACGAGTCTTGTTGGCAGGGCATCCAGATTCATAGTATCTCCTCAAATTAAATCTAAGCATGCAGGAAGGAGAGTAATCGTTATTTGTATAATCAATCCCTAATTTCCGAAAGCATTCAGCCTGGTCAGTGGGGCATCTTACCTGCAGTACTACTGTGTCATTGCTGGGTTGTGGTTATGTGCAACTCCCAGAACATGGGAGTATCTTTGACAAACAACAAACCTTTGTAGTGTATTTGCAGAATTATTTTTTTTTTAGATTCATTAGAATGACTCGATAGAATCTCTTTCTATATAATGTGTTCTGTTTCATCCTGGTAAATTAGGGGGTTTGCCACAGCTAATATGCAGTCTCTTGCCCAATTTCTAATCTCTGTGTAATTAATTATTAGAAATGCTCATTTATTAAGACATTGAACCAGGCTGCTTTGAAAGCAGAGGTCTGTCTTATCTTCATTTTATTAATTTCCATGCAGTTCAACTTGTCTCTTAACTGAGAGGTTTTCCTAATAAAATACTGAATCAGCAGGCATTCCAAGAGATATTCCAATGTAGTACAGCACAGTCATCAATAATGAGGCATTTTCAAAAATGAAGAAATTCAATCTGTAACATAATCTTGTCTTTCAACGAAGAGAATGAATTGACACTCTTTCAGTTCCTGTCAGATTCCAAATGATGTCTGAACTGAATTCATGAAAGAATGTCTGAGTCATCTCCGCACCTGTAAGAATATTTGTATTGCTTGTTTGCTTGTTTTTGTTTATTCTGGGTAACTGTTTATTTTAAGTGCCCCATTACTTATTAAATAGTCCTAGTAATAATATTAGCTAAACCAAATTTGAAGTTCTGCAAATAGGCTGTATCACTGCTGTTTGTACTAAAATTTCTACACAAATCACTGAAGTGGGAGCACTTGAAATAAAAGTATCCCCCTGTGTTTGCTGGTTTGCTTTCTGGATGGACAACATTTGACTGCCTAGCAGTTTGTAGCCTTTAATAAGAGCCTGTTGAAAAATGTTTGCTTTGTGTGTTTAAATTGATTGTAAAGAACTTTAAAACTTGTTATACTGTTGGTTAACAGGCTGGAATTTTTAGTATGTATGCCTGTGAGGAAGGTTTTGCCACTGGAGGGAGAGATGGTTGCATTCGTTTATGGGACACTGATTTCAAGCCAATTACTAAAATTGATCTCAGGGAGACTGAACAAGGATACAAAGGTAATGAGCTATTACTTTAATGGCTTTCCACACGTCTAGATAATGGTTTATGACACAGTTTAATTTGAACCATAAATGCCTTTGCGTACTGCTGATTTTTTTTTACTTAATGACTGTATTGACGTTTGAGATCTGTGTTTCCTTTTTTTCCTCTGGCAATGACGTAGCCTGAAGAGTTTTCTGTTTCATAGTATAAAGAGGGATGCTTATAGTTGCTGCTCCCTACCATACAAAGACAAGAAGATAAGTAAAAACTGATTAAATGCAAAAAGATAGGAGAATTAAGTTAGACAGTCTTTAACTTAATTAATTATTTGCAATTTATTCAAATAATGGAGATTTTTGGAACCCGATATTCAAAGACGCTGAGCATCTGAATGCTGCATTAGGTTTGGAATGGTAGCACTTGGCGTATTTAATAGAGAGAATGTTATTAAATTCTTGACCATCGTATTTGTTGAATCTAATCATGTTTCCTATAAGCTTAGCCGTCACTGTATGATTAGACTCTGGGAGGACTTCCAGTCTCCATAGATCATGATGCACTCTTTACCAGGATCCTAGCCTGCTGGAAGCTCCACATGTCCATTTGGATGGTCCGTAGTGGTCTGTCTGCTGGTTTGAAGCAGGCTGTATAGACTTTTGGCAGCCAACTCTGTAATGCGTAATGTTAATCTCCCCTGCTTCCTACCATATGCTTTTAGACTTAATTTTCATGTTAAAATTACCCCTGGAATAGTCAAGAGGCCACTAAGAAGGACAACATTTTCCTTCTGAATTATGGATATTTTGGCCTGTGATCTAGTAGCAAGCTTGTTGCATTTGTTTTTTCCTCTTACTTAGACCAGAAGAGCTGATGATTCTAACACTGGTAAAATGCATAGGTTTGCAATATCCAGGCTCATCCAGCAAGTAAACTGCCAGCAGCCTCAGATGAACACTGCTCTGCCTTACTGTAGTGAAAACTCATGGAATTTATCCCTCAAAAAAGTTGCCAGACCCTCAACCAGTAGTCCCTTTGCTCTGCACTTCTGGCTTTATCAAGTTTTTTGCAGCTAGAATCATTAATGTTTAGCACTCACTTCTAGAAAGCAATGGCAATACCTTATGACCATGTACAGCAGTTCTGATCAATTTAGAAATACTTTCTAGAAATGGTAGAGAAAGAAGCCGGCACCTGTGGGTTAGACCCCTCTGCGTAATACCGGTCTGGCGGGCAGTCTGTTCCTGATAAAGCTCAGAATAGCAGATATGGAGGGTGACACAGAGAGAGCAATGGTTACACATGGAACGTGCATCTTCAGCCTCCTTTGTTCTTTGTGAAGTGCTTCAGGGAGGGAGCTTTGTCCAGCACACTTGCAAGAGCAGATTAGAAGCCATTTTTTTACTCTTAGTGCTGCCTGGGATGTGTCCACACTCAATGCAAAACAGACTTTAGCTGACTTGAGTTACATTTAATTGACTGTAGTTATCCCTGTGGAAAATTATGACTTCCAAATTAGATTACAGAGCTGCAATGTATTGATAAAGGTGTGTTCCTCAAGCACGTGGTCTGCAGGAAGCCACTAGCTGCCCTTCTACAGGCTGCCTAAGAAAAGTTTTTGATCCTGATGAACGTTCAGTCAAGGAAAGGCTTATTGAAGTTGAATTCTCATTAGACATGATGTGGACTGATTCTAATTTGATGCCACTATTTCTACCATCTCCTAAACGCTACAGGGTATGGAATGTATAGCTGCGAGCAGAGAAGTAGAACCAGGCACTGTAACAGCAGCTGTTAGACAGTCAATAGAGGGTTTCGCTGTCGTCTTAGCTGGCAAAAGTAGTAAAAAATTCCATTGGCAGGAAGTGAATTGAGTTGCCATTTAGATCTTTATGTTAATGATAAGAAATTTAAAAAAATATGATTGATTTCTAAAATTTAAAACTGAAACACTGCCTAAATCTTGTCTTAAAAGCATTTAAATTCTTCAGATTTATGTATGTTTGTTAAAATAAAAACATTGCCTGCTTTAGTGGCAAGAAATGGACTTAAGCAAGTCTGCAGGATTTTACCAGACCTTAATCAAAGATGGTGTGCCCATGAGTATAATCACTGAGACTAAGTAAAAATGCATGGTGCTGTATCTGGGAGAAGTGTGCTGGGACAGCTGGTTGGCTGCAGCTGTGAAAAATCGGGACCTTGGGGGTGAGTGCAGGTCATAAAATCCAAGTGTGCACTTATACCCTGTCACCATCATTTTTAAAAGTGTTTTATCTTTTTCCTGTTTCAGGGTTTCTTCTCTCTCTGTGTTCTTTCAGTCTTGCCTGCAATGTTCCTGTTATGTCTCTGTCCTTTTCTGCTGTTCCTTCTCCATATGTCCTCCCCTGATGATCACTTCCATTTAGTGATTGCTGCTGACAGACTCTGCAAATTCTGTTTAGTTATGTCAGTGGCACTCATTAGTTTAAGCACGTGTGTAACTTCAGGCAATGTGGTAGCCTTAAGAGCTTACCTATGACCACCTATTCCTTCTTGCCAATTACTTTTTTCCCAAACAGTTTTGCAAGAGCATCAACTTTCAAACTTAAATCATTTTTTTAGGGTGCCAGCAAGTTATTTCCCACCTCCCACCCCATATATACGCTCATTCATCACTTACGCTGTAGTGGAGCGTGCTAAAGATTTGTAAATGAGGTGTTTCCCCAGGAAGGATCTGAACATAGGCTTGGCTTTTATATTTAAACATATCTGTCTATTAGTAAAAAAGTCTGATCATAGCTAATCATTATATGTGGTACATCACTGAAAACATCACAAGATGTCTCGTATTCTAAAACTTAACAGTACCCATATTCCACTTACCATCTCAACTTCATTCCTTGTGTGGCCTTTGGTGTGTATCAAGAAGATGTCAATCATAACTTCGGTATAAATTTAGCTAAGTCACAAAATAACATTATCAAGATTTAAAGGTACTGGGAATGGACAAGACAATAAATGAAGATTAATTTGCCCTTCTCAAGAGATGGCACAAAATGCCTACAATATATTTTAGTTATGTGACCAGTAGTTAATTGCATTGTGTATTTGGTTCCAGAAGATGTTAAAATGATGACACAATTGACCTTGACTACATGACAAATGTATTTTTTTTTTTATTCATTCACATCTCTCAGAATCTAGACCCATTATCCAAACTTTAATTTTCATGTAATGAAACAGAAAATACAAACACTGCAGGCAGTCAACCAGAGAATGCTATCAAATTGCTAAGAGGGTGTTTTTAAGCTTGTGGTTAGTAAAATCCAGTCTTCAAAGTTAGGATCAGATTTGTGGAATAAGGTCAGTTTCTTTCAAAGCTATGCAAAGCAAGATTCTCTTGCTTGGCTTAATTGGTTGGGGCTAAAATGGAGAAGTGTGATAACATGGACACAAACCATTTAAATTCACCATTAAAATTTTGTTCAACATTTTATTTAAATGTGCAAAGAAAGCAAGGTACTGAGAGAAAAGAAATAAATCCAGTTTCAGTCACAGGAACCTTGCCTAATCTAAAATTCAGATCTTTATGGGAAATTGAATTGTTTTTTAAAGTAAATTCCCAAGGTGTATGCAAAGCATGAGAGCTTGATCCCCTGAGAAACTGGCCGCGGAAATGTTAGACACTCAGCATTTTCCCAGGATTGAGCCTTCTCTGTCAAATGGAGATAATTTAACATAACCGTTCTGAGATTCTCATCTGCTGTGATGTACTATGAGACGTCCGTGTCAAAACATAACACTTGTTATAAATTAACTCCTGAAGTCTTAATGATCTTTGCTGTACTATCACTTTGTCTTGTCATTGCCATTAATCTAAGGTTATTCTGTCCCCTGTCAGGTTTGTCCATCCGAAGTGTCTGTTGGAAAGCAGACAGACTTTTAGCAGGGACCCAGGACAGTGAAATATTTGAGGTGCTAGTAAGAGAGAGAGATAAACCCATGCTGATCATGCAGGGTCACTGTGAAGGGGAGCTCTGGGCCCTGGCGGTCCATCCAAAGAAGCCTTTGGTAGTCACAGGCAGTGACGATCGGTCTGTACGGTAAGGCTAGATCTTATTTATTTTTGTATCTATTCATGCATGTACACATTAACTTGTAATTTAATTATTTTCTGGCCTTATGTTTAGACTTCATTAAGAAAACGGGGGGGGGGGG